AACTGTACTTTCTCTGGAATGAAAAGAACATTATTTCCTCCCAAAAGACACTGTCTGTATTTTGATGTTATGATATAACCACAACTTATCTTGTACTTGGTTAATGACATATACATGTATCTCTTGGATAGGTGGTAAATCATAGGGATGAATCATCCACATATTAACCATTCTATTCTGTTCACTATTTATTTCCACTTTTCAAGTTCATTATTACATAGTGTTAAGATGACAATTCATGTTAATTCTTTAGATGCCTCAAGGATTATTTCTGTGAAATACTTAATGAATATTCCCAGACATATTATAGAATTACTCAGTAAAAGGAACTGTGCTTGACAGTTCAAATCTGACAGACAGACATACTTGACAATGACCTTATCAGCACAGCAACACAAAACTATTTTAAATTCAACTGTTTATTATAAAATTACAAATTTAGTAAAATCACATTATGAACAAAAACAAAACCCTAACAAATGTGAAAAGCCCATCTAACCATCCATAGATTTTTCGGTAACAGTGTTTCCTTGATATAAGTGTAAATAAACAGGGATGCTTATGATCATTTACACACTGAAGATGCCTGTTCTCACAAGAAGGAACCCTAGTGCATTGCCTCTCACATCTCAGAACTCCTTCTAATTACATCATTGTAATTTACAGAGAGGATGTACATAACTTCAGTTGGAGGGGGCAGTTTTAAAAAAAAGTTTCATTTTGTAAAAAAAATTAAATAAAATATTAAAGAGATTACAGAGTATATAGCCTACATTTTCCAGAGTAGGAATATACAAAGTATAAGAAGAAACTCATAGCGTTGCTGTTAGAATAGACATGTACCTACAGAGAAAGGAGAATAGCACAATGTCTCATACTTCAGTGCTCAAATCAAAGCAGAAGCCACAATGTACATAAAATTGGCCAGCAGATGGCATAACAATTCCAAAGTCTCTGAAGAGACATCAAGAGCTACCACTTTTCCTAGCAAATGAACCAGTCATGGTGCTTTTCAATTTAAAAGCAAAATAGTATAAATTATTCATATTTTGCTATAGTTTTATTTCACCCATTTTATGAGGCAGTCTTAGAGAAAAAGATTTCTAGATCCAACTATCAATTAGGATCCCAAGAAGCACTCTTTTTGTTATATGGGCTACGGAGACAAAAAAAATAAAAAGGCATCATACAATCATAAAATTCTAATGTCAGGAAGGATTCTAGAGTCTAGCCGTCTCATTTAATAAATAAGGAATTACTACCAGCTATGAAAAAACTTGGGAAAGGTCACACAGCTAGCAGTAGCAATAATTGAACTGAAGTTTTGATTTCAGTTACACGGTTCTTCCCACCCAAAGAAATTTTACTTAAAAACTTTACTGAAAAACCAAAACTAGTTATTTCCAACTCTGTATGAAAAGTTAGACTTCAGGTGCAGACTTATTTGTCCTCTTCCAATATGGTGACTTCAACAGCCGTAAGCAAAAGCTCTTTAGAGAATGAAAACAAGAAAACAAATCCAACTTCAAATACAGCTGACTTAGCATCTGCCATATTTCATATCAACAATCAACCAGCTACTTTGAGTCTCACTAAAAGAACACAGTAACATAATAGAATTCCCCACAGGAAAACATGTTTTACTACTTTAATACTGTTCAAACCTTGCCTCTGCAAATTCGCCTATTTCTTTTCCTTTAACACATTAAAAAACTCTTTTCCTTTATCACTTACATTAAAAAGCTTTTCCCTTTATCATTTACATTAAAAAACTCTATCCATAAAAGCAATATAGTATAAAAGTTATATAATCTGACCTAGAGTTTCCCTCGAACCACAGAGTGTATCATGTTAATACAAACTCAAATAAAATGAATAAAATAAGATGCCCTACCTAAAATAACCTTTACCATCATCTTCTTTTATTTCTAAAGACACAGAGAAGGTAAAGATGTCACTGTCAGGAGTCTGGGGGGCAGCAGTGGCTGAAAGTGGGGTCTGCTTGGCAGAACGGCGGAAGGCAGTGGCAAAACTGTAAAGTATCCGGCTTACCTAAAGTCACATACAATCAGACATGTTAGGAAATGGGCCATTTTCAGGCTGGAAGGTTACCTACCTTGTAGGGTCTGTGAGGGTGGAGAATGGGGGTGATTAAGATTTCTTTCACTTACTTCTTTTAGTAAATTATCTAATACAAGTTAGACAAAAACAGTAATTATAGGCTTGTAAAATAAGCTACACTAAAAATGGCCAGAGGAGATAAAACGAAAACATTTGATATCCAACTGAAGAAATGGTCTTAAATTGTCAGAAACTGTGTGAACATACTTATAATGATAACACCAGCAAAACAAGCTCTAACTGCATAGGTGTTGGAACCAGGATGTCTAGCTTACCCAGTCAGGAAGCCAACTGGTCCTCTCTGACACTCTTAGCAACAACAAGGTTAAGATTAACCAGATTTCTACTTTATTTAGATCAAGGCCCATCAGGCTTCAACCACTAAAGCACTAGCGGAGAATTTCATCTGGCTATGAGTAGCCATAATAAATAATTTCAACCTAGTGAGCGCACTGAAGAAGTTTCACTTGCAGGTACTTTCATATTAAGAACTTACAGCTTCTTGTATTTCGCAACGGAAGACGTGTATTCTGAAGAGCTCTGCATTGTAATGACTTTCAGTGAAAGCAAAACAGTCACTCTCAGGAGTTCCATCATGTCCTCTCACACAAAAGAGAATTTTGTAGATAGGGTAGTTTGCTATTTCAGTGTTTGTCTGAGGATCTAAGAGTCTGTTTAGAAAAGAAGATATAAAGAGATCAGAGGAAATATGGACAATATGCACTCCATCCATATTTAGATTCAAAATTCATCTTTCTAGCAAGAAAATCATGTAAGCCATTTTCAATGTTAATCATATTAATCTCAAATCTCAATAAATAAGTCATATATGGATTCTGAAGTTATCAGTTATTTAAGTCCAAGGTACTAAAAGCTGTATAATCCTATATAATCCTACACTCTGGAGACGCAAACAGAAAGGTAAAAACAAAACAGTAAGTACATATAATTCTTATATACTCTGTAACTAAATAATAGACTGATGGACAGACTATAAAAATAGGTAGTTAAAGCTGTACTTCTTCTTATCTTTGAAAAGAATGACCTAATCTGTTTTAGAAGTCACAAAAACAAACTGATGCTCTTACGAGTGAAAAAGGTTTTCTGATTCAAGGCAAATAAAGGTAAGAAGGGTTGTATACAATGTTAACTCCTCAAAAGAAAAGATTTAAAAAGATATTAAAAGAATGACATGTATTCAAAAGCAAAAGGATTTCATTCGTTTGAAAATCTCTTCATTCAACAAATACTTATGTGATACTACAAACATGTCACTCTTTCTTCTGGTCAATGAGGACAAAAACTTGAAAAGAAACTATGCAATTTCAATATAGCATGGGCAGAGCCATTAATGGGGAAAAGACAGGGGGCCCTGAACATAATAGAAGCACCTAGGAAAGGCATCTAACCCAGGCTCAAAGGTAGGTTGATGACAACTCTGGAAACCTAGGGCAATACTAATCAGTTCCCTCACTTCATTTATTGTTGTTGTCATTAGTTGCCACTAAGTCAATTCTAACTCACGGTGACCCCATGTGTTACTGAGTAGAACTGCTCCATGGGTTCTGTTGGCTGTAATCTTAACAGAAACAGATTGCCAAGACTTTGTATTTTGTGGTACTACTGAACGGATCTGAATAGCCAACTTTTTGGTTAGCAGTTGAGTGCAAACCATTTGCATCACCTAGGTACTACTTGTAGACAATTAAAATACTACTAGAACAAAATATAACTTTGGTTAGGGGAGTAAGTACTAACTAAGAAGCACATAGAAATTAGTACTACTATGTTTTATTAAAAGTTTCACATTAATAAACAATTTAAATTAGGATTTATGAGCCTTTGTGAAACAGTTCTTTAAATACTCAAACAGAATTATATATGAAGATGATTGGAATATTAATTATGTAAGTGCAATTTAGGATCATTATAAGTCTGAATTGACTTGACAGCAATGGTTTGTTATTCACACACAGCTACAACCCTACTAACATGAAAATTGAAAATGCTTTCGAGTATACTGAAAATAGTCTTATATGCTGCTGATAAAAGTATAAACTGAATCAGTATTTCTAGATGGCTATTTGGAAATGTATCAAAGCAATAAAAATAGGCCAATAAATCTAGTTCTTAGAATTTATTCTAAGGAAATAAAAAGTATACAAAGATTTGGCTCAAAGACACCTATTTATAAGAAAATTGTAAGTAAAGCATTTGTGCCACTGCCTAACACACAAAGTATAAAAGAATTTATTAACATTAGCTATTATTCTTAGTATTTTCCACATTAAATAAAAATCAGAAATTGCACTAATGCTTCTTTCTAAAACAATAATACTCTTAAATTTAAGAGTATTTCCTAATTTTTAGCTTATGCTCATTTTTTTTTAAATAAGCATATTTTCTTTAGTAATGGGAAAAAAGTTATTTTGTTTTAGCTGTGTTCACCTAATTATTTAGCCATTTTATATTTAGCTAGTTGATACAGACATTTGATTGGCTCTTTTTAATTGCTATGATTTTTTCTAGTTAGAATAAACAATTTCAGTTCTAAAGACTTCTCTGGGCCTCATTTCCCCTATCTTAAAAATTAAAAATGGACTGAAATAGTTAACATTTACCAATACATTTCTGTACCTTCCAAAATTAATAGGAAACTCCTTATTGAGCTGTGTCATGTTAGGTACACAGAAATTCTAAATTAACTTGTTAAGCAGACTCTCAGGTCAACGTATTTCAATTACCCCCAAAACATTTAAATGCTCAATATACTATGCAAGATTAGGGCTGGGGGAATTATTTATAAGAAACTGTTACAAACGAATGGCCAATTTTTATGAGGGTCACAATCCTTTAAAGACAGAACTATTTGATCAATTAAATGTTACATGAACGAAATTATAATGTATTTTGTTCACTAATGCTTTTTTTCTAAAACAGTAAGTACGTCAGAGGTCTAATGTAATGTTATAAACATTTCAAAAAGTCAGCCTTACCTTACAGTTCCTTCAGATACATTGGGCACTGAGAGGGTTACATCTAATGAAATCTGACACTGGCTTCTTAAAATGGACATCATCCTTAAAGCTTCCACTTCACTCCTGGGGGCATTTACTGAGGCACAACCTAAATAAGTTAGTTTACTGAATACTACACTGTCCTCATCAGCCATTGGTGTGAAAGGACTTGACACTACAGAATCTGAAAGAAATAAGATGATCATTATTTTTACTTTGATATTTTGTTGATATGAATAGCAAGTAAAACTCTAAAAGTAACATTTAGTTTGTAAAACTAAGTAATGAAATAATACGCCATACCCTCAGGAAAAATGCCCATGAAAGCCAGAAATCTCACATTAACCAGCTTCCAAGAGACAATTCCCACTTCTGGTGACCTGATGTGTGTCAAGAGTAGAACTGTGTTCCACAGCGTTTTCAACAGCTTATTTTTTGGAAATAGATCACCAGGCCATCCTTTTCAGGCACCTCTGTGTAGAGGCAAACCTACAACCTTCCAGTTTGCAGCCAAGCATGCTAACCATCTGCACCACCCAGGGACTCAAATCTCACACCTGAACTTTGTTATCAATACCAAAATTTCCAGGTACATACCTCACAAACCTTAAAGCTGACCTGAGATTCAGATGTGATTTACCTTTCTGCTTCTTTCTCATCTGTTTTGACTTTGTAACTTATATTTAGGTCAAATGTAAATTCAGTATTTTACAACTGCAGGATTCTGTCTTCCTTCTCATTTGTACTACTATCATTATTTCTCTTATTTCTTATTTTAACCTCTTTGTTATGTTATTATCCCTTTGCTTTTACTTTCCCAATAAACATCAACAGTTTAACACCCTATTTTTCCCACTGAGGCTGTATAATTGTCCTCCTTGCTAGGCCTCTCCATTCTTATTCTGGTCTCCCCCTTTCTTCTCCTATATAGGTACAGATGCCTAGGGGAAAAAAGAAACTCACTGCCATCGAGTCAGATCCGACTCACAGTAACCCCTCCTTGGGTTTCCAAGGCAGTATCACTACAGAAGTAGATTGCCCAATCTTCCTTCCGAGGAGTGGCTGGTGGGTTTGAACTGCAAGCCTTTGGGTTAGCAATCAAATGCCTTAGGCACTATGCCACCAGAGCTCCCATGTCTAGAGCAAATATCTATTCATCAAGCTCTATCCCTTCATTTTTCCAACATCCTCCTTGAATTCCTTTTCCCTGAAAAAATCTTTAAGCAATGTGAAAAAAGATTCTTTTAGTCATTTAACTAGCTTCTTTTTATAGATAACTAAAATACATATAAAAGGAAACCAAAATGGTACATGTATTTACTCCTTTCATATCCCCTTAGGTCTGGGGGGCATCTAGAGATTCTAGAGAACAGAGATAATGCCTTTTGTTTGCTCTAAATCAAACCTAGTACAAGGTGGACACTTAAATATTAAGGAAAATAACCTTCAGTTACGTAAGCAATGCAGCAATCCTAACCTCCTTGTCCAGGTTTCACTGGCAGACTCATCTCTGGCTTTTGGAGCCCCACTAATGGCACAGGGTTAATGGTGGATGAAGCCGAGAGTTGATTAGCAAGAGGTGCATCTCCTTCACCATCCAGGTGTGATCTTTCCACAGGTTCCTTGTCCCCTGGCTGGTCATCCATTGGAGGATCCATCAACACATCTGCTAGCTCTTTTTGCAGCTGCTGCTCACTTCCATTCCCTACAATCTAAGTATAACAAATACATGCAGTCAGCAAAGTAAGAAAGAGAAGCTAGTACTGAATAATCAGGTTCACATTCTAGAGAAAATATTAGCATTTTTTTAATATAAAGATTACCTTCTGAATATATTTTTTAAAAAAGTTGCAACAAGTAAGAGCAGCTGCTGCTTTAATGCCTAAATTTTTTCATGAAAAAACAGTGAATTTCAGACTAATAATGTGATAGCCTAGCAGAGTTATTTATAATTCTTCTATAGTGCTGTAAACTTACAAAATATCTGCAATTATACAGGGGGCAAAATCATGAAAATTTCTTAGCCATAACAAAACACCCTGAGGGAATGAATCTCTGGGCCTAGGGGCTCAGGACCATACTCGTGGGGGACATCAAGGTCAACTCACATAACACAGTCCACAAAGACAATGTCCATATCCTATTTTAGTGAGTAGCAACTTAAAAGCTTGTGAGCAGCCATCTAAGGGTAACTACTGGTCTCTCCCCTCCAGAGCAAAGAAGAGTAAAGAAAATTAAAGACGCAGGGAAATAATCAGTCCAAAGAACTAAGGGACCACGTAATCCTCAGCCTCCACATCCCTGAGAGCAGAAGAACTAGGTGCTACCTGGCTACCAAGGATCTGAAAGGGCTCACAATAGGAGGTTCTGCACAGAGTGGGAGAAAAACATGGAATAAAAGTAAAAATCATTAGAGACTAGTGAAACCCTTGAAACTATGGCCCTTAGTCACCCTTTAAGCCTAGAACAAAATTCACTCTTGTAACTCAACTTTCAGTCAAACAGGCCTATAAGGTGAACAGTAACACTAGGGAGGTATGGACTCCTTAGAACAACCAACCACGCAAGATCGAAACGGCAGCATCTGTCCAGGGATAAAGTTCAGAAGGCAGAAAGGGACAGAAAAGGAGGATGAATGGAAATGGTAAGCACAGGGAGGAAGTGGGAGGTGTGTTGTTATACTGTATTAATTACAATCAATGTTACAAATCAAAATGTGTATGTATTGTTGAATGAAAAACCAATTTGCTTTGTTAACTTCACCTAAATCAAAATAAAAAGTTAAAAGAAAAAAGAGCATTTGCAATTTGTCTGGTGAAGAATAATGCTTTGAAAAGGAATACCTTTAATAGCTTTTCATACCCTAAAAAAAAAAAGGGAAAAAAAAAATGTGTTTGCTTCTGAAAGTTATCAACAGAAAAATATTTATAGGATAATAAATTTCCCACATATATTTCACCATACTTGTTATAGCATGTCTCTTACATTCTCCTTACGAACAGGTTTTTAAAGTTCTAAAACATCTGACTAAAGCTGGGGAGACTGTATAAAATAGTCCAGAGGAAAAAAGCACCCTATTTCAATCATGTCAATAATTTTTCTGGCGTCATGATTGCTTATTATTAGTTGCTCAAGAATTAATCAAGTACAAAATCAAATGAAGACTGCCCAATGCTACAGAACATTAAAAGTGACAAAGCTCAATTCTGTCAATAAGTGCTTACTGAAGAAATGTTACAAAATACAAATGTTACATAAATAAAAGAATTTAGGAAAAGGAAGTCATGAGGAAAAAAGCAGCTGACTTAGAAGGCTTTCTGAAAACCAAAGCCTGGCAAAAAGATAAAATGAGTGTGACTATGAGGTTCTTAAAAGGAATGAGGTCTATCCAATAAAATTAACACAAAAGTTAGGAAGCAAAATTCTAATACAGGAGTACCTTTAGGCAACCAAGGGACCTAGATGAAACATTTTTTTATTGTTTTGATCTTCTACAAGTATAAATTTTAAGGGCCTTTGGCTATAAATTATGACTCGGAAACAGTCACAATTTTTTGCTGACATTTTCCCAAGGAATTTCTAATATACTTAACACTATTCTCACTTTGGAAATGAAAGTCAGACAGATACTTAGCCTCTTGGTTTCACTGACAGTTTCAATGACAAGTTCCGTTTCTGTGAATTTCATTTTATGTTTGGTGTTATCGGTAACAGAACTACATGTGGGTTATGTAATTTTAACTCTTTGTTATGCCTAACTACACATACAGAAGTGCAATCACTTTTCTTTTTACCAAAAGTTTGGCTTTAAAATGTTTGTACAGCACTTAAAAAAAATAAATTTATGTTTAGTTCCACTTATCTTCCTATTCTTTCAAAACTGCAGAAGAAATACTCCATCATCTGGAATTGACAAATTATACACAATTGATCCTATAGTTACTGTTTTCTCAGAGGAAAGGGAAATGTCATGTACAGTATTGATATAGCTTCCTAAAAACAGATGAAGAAAGGATATTAAGACTCTGTTTGAGCAATTAATAGTTACAAGTGGAAAGGTTATCATGAGAAGTATGAACTGAAGAGAAATGTACTTCACATGTTTTCAAGTGCTGTTTTGTTCTTCAGTATATAGGATGAGTAAACCCAAGTTTTCTTTGGATAGGCTGCCTACACTGTAATGTATTTATTCACCAATCATGGAAATATGCATAAGCCTGAAAGGAAATATGTTTATATGTTTGTCTTTTGCTATTTATGAATGATTATCTTGCATTCTTCCCTAGTTTATTAATTCTATAATGATAAGAATTGTCTTCTATTTCCTTAACTCCTCCTTAGGAAAAAGCAATGCACATATATAATAATATTGACTCTTAAAAACTGTTTACAAATAGTAACCTAACAAATGCTTTGGATAATTAGGTCAGACATGGTATGCAGCAACTGTATTAGTTCATCTGTGAATTTTCAATCCAATTCCAAAATTACTACTGGTGACACTGTTGTTGTTGTTATGTGCCGCTGAGTCGGTCCCGACTCATAGCGACCCCTCCTTGGGTTTCTGAGGCAGTATCACCTTCCAATAGTGAAGTATCGCCCAATCTTCCTTCTGAAGAGTGGCTGGTGGGTTTGAACGGCCAGCCTTCTGGTCAGCGGTCAAATGCCTTAAGCACTACGCCACCAGAGTTCCTACATTAAGTAATACATATTATTTAAACCATAAACTTTTGTTTTCTGTTTGTTTTTAAAGATAATCAATCACTCTTGACTAATCCAAGCAGGGAAACACATTCAGGAATGCCTGTCAAGGTTCTCAAATTTTGGCATCCATGAAAATCACCTGGATAGCTCACTAAAGCAGAGACTGCTGGGCCCAATCCCCAGAGTTTCAATTCAGCAAATACGTATTTCTAAGAAGTTCCCAGGGAATGGCGATGTTGCTAATCTGGGGACCACACTCTGAGAACCAATCTTAGATCAATGGTGGTTCTTTATACTCTGAATAACGTGTGAACACAGTATCTCTCAGAGGGTCCACATAAGCATCAAAATGATTTCTGGCACTTTTTGAAAATGTACATCCTATAGGCCCCACCTGGAAGAATCACTGTACACGAGTCCCACAAATCTACATTTTAAACAAGCATCCCATGAGATTTTTACATGCAATAAGGTTTGAGAACCACTGGGTTGACACACAGTTAATTTATTTTGTAACACACATGGATCATCGCAATAAAAAAGGACATGCCGACAATGGTCTTTACTTATAGTGTTAGCTTATATCCATGAGAGGCTGGGAAAGTATTTAGCTTTCCAAGCCTCTCTAATAGCTAAGTTTTAACCGTGTAACATAATTTTAACCATAGAGATGTTAAAAGAAGTCTTCTGGGCAGGCTTGTGGAAGACAGTTGTTTGTCCTGATAAAAGAAAAAACATGGCTGGTGCCAGCTCTTTTCTAACCCCCTCTTCTTTTCGCTTTGTAAAGAATAGGACACATGAAACCACAGTGGAGGTCTTATGTCCATGCAACAAATATCAAAATGAAAAGTCAATGAACTAATAATGACAGAATGGATACCAAAAAGGAATTAGGTTTTTAATAGTACAGATCAGGAATTGGGGAACGTTTCTGTAAAGGATCAGATAGTAAATATTTTAGGCTTTGTAAGCCATAAGGTTTCTGTTGCAACTATTCAACTCTGTCTTTACAGCATGAAAACAATAAGAGATGACACATAAATGAATGAATGTGGCTATGTTACTATGAAACTTTATTTATAACCTTAAGGTGGTGGGTTAGATTTTAGTCAAGGGTCACAGTTTTTCCTTTGGTATAAGCAAACAGCTTAAACAAACCAGCAATTGCTTACTTCCAGACTTATTATATGAGAAAAATAGGCTACTATTTAGTAGGGCTTTCAGTTCCTTGCTGGCAACAGCTTTCCTGATAGATACCACAATCATCTCTAAAATAAATGTAATTTCAAGTCCAGTAATCAAGGTAACATGGCATTAGCTAAAGAGTAGACATATACATCAATGCAACAGAACAGATATCTACACGATTTTTAATAAAGTTACAAAGGTATTTCATTGGACAAAGGCAATTAAACAAATGGTGCTAGAACAATTAATTGAACATCCATAGGCAAGAACATGAATCTGACCAACACTTCACACTATATTCCAAAATTAACTCAAAATGGATCAAAGACCTATGTAAATCATAAAGCTACAAAACTTAAGAAACACAGGAGAAAATCTTTGCAATACAAAAAATACAAATCATAAAAAACTGGTAAAAAAGACTAGGCTTACTGGTCTGATAGATACTGGTGTAACTCCAGAGACTAGTCATCCTTCGGGCTTTAGAACTGAACTCATTTCCATGGCTTCCAGCCAAACAACAGATGGGCATAAAAGGTGAACATTATACCAGGTAGGTGTACTCCTTAGAACAATCAATCATGGGAGATCAAAAGGGCAGTATTTTTACACAGGGACAGAGCTCAGGGGTCAAGAATGCATAGGGAAGAAGGACACAGGGAAAAGGTAACCACAGGGAGGCTGTCAGAAGAGAGCTGTTACATTATGGGGATTACAATCAATGTTATGAAACAAAATGTATATGAACTGATATATGGAAAATGAATTTGTTCTGTAAACTTTCACCCAAACACAGTAAAATAAAACAATAAACTGGTAA